TTTCACAGCTCCCTATTGGACTCCTTTTAACCAATCACCAGAAATCACTGGCAAATAGCAGCAGACAAGTTGAGGTCACTTGGTCTATAGTACTGGCAGGTTTTGAATAAAGGCGGGGCTTTGGGAGCATGGCGAAATTCGCCATCACTCCATGGAAATACGATTGTCTCTCATTTCTTCAATCATTGTGACATCGCCACACAATTTCTGATGAGTGATCTTACTCTGACCCCTAATAGAATTGGACAGCTGAAGTTTGTGGGCGTGGCCTATTTTCTGAAATAGCGCCCCCTAGGACCATTAAAACTGTCAGCCCCAAGCCATGCTTTGACTGAGGATCACGAAATTTGGCACATTAATGTAGTGTCTCAGGACCTACAAAAAAGTCTCTTGGAGCCAAGCGCAATGTCGCACAGGAGGTCGGCCATTTTGGTCCAAGTACTCGATTTAGTGGTTTTCGCACACGTTATTAGGAGAATGATGTCTCGTCGCCCTTTCCACCGATAACCTTCAAACTCCTGCTATATAGTATTAAGACATAGAGGAAAAAATTCAACCGTCGGATTTTAAATAAGTATAAAGGTGTGGGCGTGGCTAAGCCTCAAAATTACTTGACTGAATAACTCCCATGTGCATGATCAGATCAGTTTCAAACTTTGTCTGTGTGATCACTGACAACATCTGAAGACAGTGACAATGTGGACAGCAGACATCACCTAAGCCCCGCCCCCTGACTACAGGAAGTCTACTGTTTTATGGTGAAATGCCCATATTTGTCCCCTCTAATTTAGTCACCATGACACTAAGGTCATGCACTATCTTCATGATGTTGTAATGACCATTCAGATCTGATAGCTTTTCAGAAAGGGAGGGGCTTTGATGCCATGGCGAATTCTGGCGTGACGCTGTGACCTTACGTTTGACTGTAACTTCCACAAACAGCCTCCGATTTGCCCGAGACTGAACATCACATCACCAGTGTGGTAAAGATAGAGTATCTCCTAGTGGTGAGACGTGTAATGCTGGGCTCAGAGGGGATGCTGAGTCAGGGTGAGGTGTGGACGAGGAGGCCGTTCACGGTTTCTGGTGTCGGGGTGGTTGACTTTCTGTTCTGCCAGACGTGCCATGGTGCCCCCGGCTGCCGGCCAGGATGGAGAAGCGCGGAGCTGGGTTTGGAGAGCGTCGGGGATGGAGCGGAGGGGGAGCGGAAGGAAGGCAAGCAGCTTCGCTGCGAGGGCCGAACGACGCTGCTTGCAGCTTTAATTGATATTATTTTCTTTTCAAATACTTTTAATCTTAAGTTTTTTTTGGTCTTTATTCATTTGATATTTAGTTATTATTTTATTATCTTTTGATTTTTATGGAAATAAACTTTATTTACAAATATCTCACAAACTGAATCCTAATGAAACTTTCAAATGGACGTCTTCCACTTTTGTTGTCAACCAAAATCACGATAACTGCCACAGTTCATTGACCTTAGAACGACACACCAATGGCTACATAAGCCAAACTGAAATACTAAAACCTTATGCAGCCGCAGCTATAAGTCATTCACGACACTTATTCTGACCAGGCTGGACTAGGCTTGGTTACGAGGGCCGATTCTTCCCCGGGCCGCTCTCTGAAGCAAAGAGGTGAGTGAGAGGGTGATGCTACATTGAAATCTATCTGGACAACCTTTTTCACCCCCAGCATGATGCTGTGGAGGCTTTAGCAGCTGCTTCAGTGACAGGATGTTCCATCCAACATCAGGCAGGTAATTCACCCCATCAGTAGTGAAGCTTTACAAGCAAACCATTTAAACTCTCTTTTTGCATTTTTTCTTTGCACTGTAAACATAGTTGTGTAGATTTGATTTAAATACATTTAAATGCATAAAACAGCTTTTTTGTAAGTTTTTGTTCAAGTTTGATGCGTGCTGTTATGTTCCTCTATTACCAGTGACAGAGCTTGGTCCGCATGGCCAGCAGTAACTCAGGCTCGTTTCCAGTGAGAGTTGGACTTCACCAAGGCTGCCCTTTATCACCGATTCTGTTCATAACTTTTATGGACTTTTATGAACTTCTAGGCACAGCCAAGGAGATGAGGGAATCCTTTTTGGTGGCCTAATGATTGAGTCTCTGCTTTTTGCAGATGATGTTGTCCTCTTGGCTTAGGCTGCTGCCCCCGCGACACGACTCCAGATAAGCACCCGAAAAATGGATGGATAGATTTGTTTAAGCGTTTTTTTTTTTCACTAATTTCACTGATCCCTGTTGGGCATCAATAAATGTGTATCACGAGATGGAATGAAGTGTTATTTTTGAGGTTTGAACAAAGAATCCTAAACGTCTGATCTTTTACAAATTATAATAAAACATAAATGACAGGTAATGTCAGATGAATTTAAGGAACGACATAATGATAACCTCTTCTCTATGTGATATCTGGCATGCAGCCACCAGATGGCACTGTAGAGCTGTCTTACCTGCTCTGTAACAGCAAAGTTAAATGATTAAAACCCCCCTGGATAAGATTTGGAATAATCACAATAAAATGTTGTGTTGTTAGATTTGTAGAGTGTGAAAACAGTAAATAAAGTATAGTTTCACACATATTTTATTACAATGAATTTCCTGTGCATTCTGTGCATCAAAGACCTTGAACATCTGCAGTGGCCTCAGCCTGATTTGTTGATTTGCGTCGTGTAACAAAAGCAAACACAAAGTAGGGTGGTCTAATCCTACAAGACATGGACACTCCTTCAAGATGAAAGAGGAGTATGAATGATGCTATAGTGCCCATGAGCAATGTAATGTTGACCTGCTCTTCTGTGTTCCGCCTGAATGTGAGAAGGAGAAAACTGTTAACACGACTCTTTTTATACTTCTGTTAGTTTTGATATTAGACCATAAGACTATGGTTTCTACTCTTCAGGTGACGAACTTTGTTAATAATTTTGGTTAAAAATAACAAAGAAATTATTTGAAAATTGTTCTATCTTTACACTAAATAATAAAGTAAACCTTTGAGGAAATTAGTTTGACTTTCATATCTTGTGTAGCTGCTGTTAAACAGTTTACACCATTATTATTATTTTTTATTAATTATCAAACTGATTTGTAACAGCACCATTTTGGTTGTTATTATTTTGTAATCTGTTTTTTGTTATGCGGTAAGCAAATTAGAAATTGGAGCCATTTCTAGACAACAGCAAAAACTTGAATAACCCTGTACTGGAGTGTCTATCAGCGATCACTAGCTGGCTGGACCACTTCCTTCAGTTAAACTCTGAGAAGACTGAATGTCTGCTCATTTCCCCTGAGAGCATGGTTCCTGTGATTAGTCAACAACTTGGTCATTTAACTTCTGTCATCAAGTCAAACTTGAGGAATTTGGGTGTTTTTGATCAATCAATGTCTCTTAACGAACACTCAGAAACACTGGTCCGAAACAGTTTTTATTGTTTGAGAAATATCTCCAAAGCACAAAGGTTGGTGTGACTTTAGTCAACAGTTTGGTCACCTCCCGCCTGGACTATTGCAACTCATTTCTCTCTGGTCTGCCCCAAAAATGAATAAATAAACATCAACTGGTTCAAAAGTAGGCTGCTCATATAATCACCAGAACACCCTATTTGGATCACATCACCCTCGTTATTCAGCAGCTCCATTGGCTGCCAATAAAGTTCAGGGTCCACTACAACATGTTAGTCCTTACATATAGGGCCATTAATAACCTTGCCCCCTCTTGTCTCTCACAGCTCCTACAAGTCACTAAACCTTCTCGCATGCTCAGATTGTCTTCTTCCATCAACTTAAATAATCCACCAGCACGTCTTGTCACAATGGGATACCGAGCATTTAGCAGGTGGGCACCCTCCCTAAGGAACTTATTACCTGCTCATCTTAGGAACACGACTACCCTTCACCAATTTCAGGCTAATCTAAAAACGTATCTGTTCAAAATAGCTTATTCACTGTAACTGTTATTAGTGTTTCATCTGATGTTTTATTTGGGTTTTAAAATTTCTACTCACTGAATGTTTTAATTTGTTTATTTTTAACCTGATTGTACAGTGACCTTGAGTTTTTTGAAAGGTGCTCCAAATAAATTGTGTTCATATTATCATTCAAGAATTTCATAGATGTGTTGCTTTTGGACAAGTTGTCAAGGGTTTAAAACAGGGGACAGATAAAGTTGTGGCTCTCAGACGTATCCAAAAGGATGACAAGGGATCAGATACCAGAGAAGCCAATTTATTAAAACATCTCAGGGAGCTGAACAGAACAACCTAATTATGTTTATGCTTATTTATTTAGCAGACGCTAAAAGCGACTTACAATTTATAACCTATAGGGCACGTTGTGATCTGTGGGGGAAACCGGAGTACCCGGAGAAAACCCATGCATGCACGGGGAGAACACACAACTCCACGCAGAAAGGCCGCAGTCGAGTTTCGAACCTGTAACCTTTGTGCTGCGAGGCAACAGTGCTAACCACTGCGCCACCATGCAGCCTTACAGGGCAATCAGGAGTTTATATTGTTCAGAAATTTCTGGGAATCGGTGCTTTTGGTGAGGTTTACAAGGGTTTAAAACAGGGAACAGCTGAAGCAGTGGCTCTGAAGTTTATCACCATGGATTAAGTTAATCGATCACTTTGAATATAATGACAGCTTCTGTTTAGTGTTTGAAACATATTACATGAATAGATTTGGTTTATTTCAAATGAGAGAGGGGGAACCACTAGATGTCAGTCAAGTCCAGGTGGTTTGCCCACGACCTGCTGGTGGATCTGAGTGAACTCAAAAAAGGGAAGAAGGCAAATCAAAATATGCCTGATTTCATTGTTACACCGAATTTGGATACAGAGGTTGATTCTGATGAGGAAACTTCAAAGAATGGAAGCATTCAAAAGAACTCCCTGTAGTTTGAGGTAGGGTTGTCATGGTAACCGGTGTAGCGGTAAACCCCGGTAAAAAAGTTGACAATAATAATAACTGTCTTGTTTTAAAAAAAAACTATATTATCTCTGTGGATTACCGTGGCTGGGTGTATGCGTAGTGACCCTTACCAGCCACCGTATCATCTGCTGAAGTTGCCGGCGGCACATGCGCACTTTGTTGTTTACGGCCAAAATTTTCTTGAAGCTAAAGCTGAAATAATGGCCAAAGGAGGAGACGGCAGTGCTCAGGACATTTATTATCCCTCAAAGAAGACAAAGAGGGAAGTATGTGCATATTTTGGATATTTGAAGAATGCCGAGGGACAGTTGATAGAAGACGGCTATCCTGTTTGCAGCACGTGCAGGAAAAAGTGTCTGTGAAAGGCAGCAACGCTTCAAATCTCATGACACATCTGCGTGACCATCACCCACAACTCTACAGTCAACGCAAGGCAAGTTAGCGTTAGCGTTTTAGCTAAAATGCGTGATCCGAGGATTTGGGTTGAGGGAGAATGCAACGAGTGGCCTCAGAGCAGCCGCAGCGCCGCTACCTGCATATAAACCGTGTCGCGGACACTCCCATGTTGAAATGACGCTATGCATTACGGGGCTCCCAGGGGCAGATAAGAGTTGGTCTCTCTGCTAGAATAATCATGAATTTAACAATGATTACTGCCTGATGACATTTTCCCACATCTGCAAAGCTCACTGGAAGGACACAAACCGAGGACAACATTTTCCTGATACAGCGGTATTGACAGACAGCAGCAGCATTTGGCATATCATCAGTAAAGTAAAATGTGATCATGAACATGAGTAATTATTTCATTTTTTCAGTTAAGCCACATGATGCTGACTTCCGTGACCTGCTGAAGCATGCTACACACTCAGGATAACCATGGTAACACGACGTGTCTTCCAGAATAACCAGAGCTGAATCAGGACGTCTGAACAACAGAACCTTCACAACGTTGGTACTTACTGCAGGACTGTTCATTTGCATCTGTTAAATAATTTACCACTTACGGTCAGGTTGGGATTAGAGTCTTTACTTGAAGACAGAACAAGAAGAATTATTAACAATGAAATAGCAGCATAAATAAATAACTAGATCATTAATTAAAAAGTTTCAGGTCAAACTGCTGCCTTTGCATTCATGTCCATCTTCATGTATTCACATGATCCTAAGTGGTGATGAGCAACAATCAGTTGGGTGGAAGCAGCTGGTCTGGTCAGTGATGGAGTAAATGCTGGTAAGTGGAGTGGTGCAGCTGGCTGGGTGATGGGGCCTTTTACAGGATCACTGGTATTAAAAGGAATGGTAAGGGAGCTAAAATCCCTCCAAAAACACCACCCATCTGTACTGGTGCTGGAGCGTTGGTGGAGGTTTGCATGTTGTGGTGCTAGATGATGTGTTTCTTTGTTTTTGTCTCTTTTCATCCGGGTTCTGGTGTGAGAGAGAGGGATCCTCTAGTCCTGAAGAAGTCTGGAGCTTGCTGAGCTCACTGAAGCAGAAGTTCTTTTGTGGGGTCTCGTGAGACTAAAACATGTCAATGCCTGACTGAAAATGTTTGTGCAGGTTGAACTTATCACACAGTTTTCTGTTATTATGATCTCTGGATTTTAATGAAGAAATAAATAAAAAATGTTTTTCTTTTTTGACTCACATATGTTGTTTTCTAGTAAGGTTTTAACCAGAAATAGCTTTATTTAAATTAACATTTTAATAAATTTGTTAATATTTTACACTAGTTGTTAGGTTGGAAGCACAATCAGCAGGGTTATAGATGCATTTACAACCACATGTTTTCCCCCAAGTCATTAAAAACGTGTTTTAAATGAGTTTAGATCATCTCATGTTCCATCTGACAGCAGGCAGAGAGAACAGACAGACTGAAGATTAAATCCTGGAAACAGTTATCTCTCCTGCTTGGTAGATCTGAAGGAACTACTGACATTAAAGTTTATATTAAGACAAAAAGAAGAGCATCTATGCCAGCATGCAGAGAACAGAAGCTCTCAAATTATAAACCACATTCTTTCATTGATAGGTGTATTCTATAAACACTTATTTTTATACAATTATACCTATTTAAGCTAAATACGATCTGTAACCCACGTGTTTTCTACGTTTTGTTTGCAATGTACCTTTTAAAAATATAAAGCTGATAAATGTTTGTGGCGCTCCAAAAAAAATAAATGCTTTGATAAAATACATAATTAGTGTAATAATAACCATACATTATTGGTCAAAAATATCTGTAGAAATGAGAAAAGGGTCGTTTTAGCGTCGAGTCCGACCAGAACCGCTCATGTTGTTGACTAGCAACGCTGAGCTGACTATTAGCGTTAGCAACTAAGGGCAACGTAAATCACGTGACCACTGGGTGCTTTGATTACGTCACGTGACCACTGGGTGCTTTGATGACGTCACTACTATGCGTCGTCATATAAAGGTCAGATCAGATTCCAAATATCAGTGTGAACAGATCACAGCTCCAGAGCGGTTGCGTTGCATAAACGTCACTTCTGACAGTATTTAGAAGGACTCATTCTCTTGCTGACAGGAACTTTGTGAGTAGCATATCACAGTCAAAAGCTGAAATCAAGTCAGTTTTAAGAGACAATCCTTATTTTGAACTTGATAAGATTCAGTTATCAGTCACCAGCCTTTCAGCTGCAGGATTCAGAACTGGAAGACAGCCAACTAAGCTAAAATGGCTCTTAACTTTTACAAAAACGAGATCATTACCGGGCGATGTGGAGTTTATATTCTTCAGAAATTTCTGGGAAACGGTTCTTTTGGTGCGGTTTACAAGGGTTTAAAACAGGGAACAGCTGAAGCAGTGGCTCTGAAGTTTATGCATGACCGTGACTCAGCTCTCAGAGAAATCAATATATTGTCAGAACTCAGAGAACTCCAGGACTACCAGAACAATCTGATTAAGTTCATCGATCACTTTGTTTACAATGGTGTCTTCTGTTTAGTGTTTGAGATGCTAGACATGGACTTACATGACTTACTGGAAATGAGACAGGAAAAACCACTAGATGTCAGTGAAGTTCGGGTGGTTGCCCACGACCTGCTGGTGGCTCTGAACGCACTGAAGAATGCTGGAGTGACTCACGCAGATATAAAACCAGACAATATTATGCTGGTTAATCATCAGTCGCAGCCTTTCAGAGTCAAGCTGATAGATTTTGGGCTTGCTATGGGAACACACGATCTACGGAACTGTGACGTCATACAGGTGTGTGGTTTCAGAGCACCAGAGGTGAACTTAGGTCTCCCTCTGACTGAAGCTGTTGACATGTGGGCTGTTGCCTGTACACTGGCCTTCATCTTTCTTGGAGATTATATTCAGAATCCTATTTGTGAGTTTAACAATATGAGGCAGATCTTTAAGCTCCACGGTCTGCCTGACCAGGATTTACTTGGCAAGGGAACAAAAGTGGACCGCTTTTTCATTTTTGACCAGTCAAACCGAACTTGGAGGTTTAAAGCACCACACGAGTATACGGAGATGATAATGACTGATTTTGAACGCTGTGACAATGAGTTAGACTGTATCGATGACTTTTTAACGATTAATCCAGAAATACAAGACAACTTTGCGTTAGAAGATCTGCAGTCATTCATAGACCTCCTGAAAAAGATGTTTACAGTGAATCCCTCAGAGCGGATCACTCCAGAAGAAGCTCTAAATCACAGATTTATAACAATGAGCCACCTTCCTCCTACCAGCAATAACTCATATGTGATATCGGCATATGAAAAAATGAAAGTTTATCGAATGGAGAAAGAAGAACCGAGCATATCCCCTGATTTCAGTGTAAGACAGACTGCTGACAGAAAATCAGATCTCTTTGATTTCAATCCATCTGATTATGATCTGTCGGACTCAGATCACTCTGAATTAGAAGATTCTGACTCCGGTCTGTCTGACTTTGATTTATCAGATTCTGATCTGTCTGACTTAGATACAGATGAAGAATGTAATGAGCCAGCGAACACATCAGATTTTCAACTCCTTAATATTCAGGAAGCTAATTTATCAGATGTGAAGCTGAACGATTCAGAACTGGAAGGCAGCAGAAGAGACAGACTAGATGAAACATTGTTTGAATTATACAAAGATCAAACAATCACTGGGGAATCAGGAGTTTATATTGTTCAAAAATTTCTGGGTCGTGGTGCTTTTGGACAAGTGGTCAAGGGTTTAAAACAGGGGACAGATGAAGTCGTGGCTCTCAAATTTATCCACAAAGACGACAGTGAATCAGCTACCGGAGAAGCCACTATATTGAACCATCTCAGGGAGCTCCAAGCTGACCAGAAGAATCTGATTAAGTTAATCGATCACTTTGAATATAATGACAGCTTCTGTTTAGTGTTTGAGATGCTAGACATGGACTTACATGACTTACTGGAAATGAGACAGGAAAAACCACTAGATGTCAGTGAAGTTCGGGTGGTTGCCCACGACCTGCTGGTGGCTCTGAACGCACTGAAGAATGCTGGAGTGACTCACGCAGATATCAAACCAGACAATATTATGCTGGTTAATCATCAGTCGCAGCCTTTCAGAGTCAAGCTGATAGATTTTGGGCTTGCTATGGGAACACACGATCTACGGAACTGTGACGTCATACAGGTGTGTGGTTTCAGAGCACCAGAGGTGAACTTAGGTCTCCCTCTGACTGAAGCCGTTGACATGTGGGCTGTTGCCTGTACACTGGCCTTCATCTTTCTTGGAGATGATATTCACGATCCTATTTGTGAGTTTAACAATATGAGGCAGATCTTTAAGCTCCACGGTCTGCCTGACCAGGATTTACTTGGCAAGGGAACAAAAGTGGACCGCTTTTTCATTTTTGACCAGTCAAACCAAACTTGGAGGTTTAAAGCACCACACGAGTATATGGAGAAGATAATGAACAATAGCGAACGCCATGATAATGAGTTAGACTGTATCGATGACTTTTTAACGATTAATCCAGAAATACAAGACCCCTTTGAGTTAGAAGATCTGCAGTCATTCATAGACCTCCTGAAAAAGATGTTTACAGTGAATCCCTCAGAGCGGATCACTCCAGAAGAAGCTCTAAATCACAGATTTATAACAATGAGCCACCTTCCTCCTACCAGCAATAACTCATATGTGATATCGGCATATGAAAAAATGAAAGTTTATCAAATGGAGAAAGAAGAACCGAGCATATCCCCTGATTTCAGTGTAAGACAGACTGCTGACAGAAAATCAGATCTCTTTGATTTCAATCCATCTGATTATGATCTGTCGGACTCAGATCTCTGTGAATTAGAAGATTCTGACTCCAGTCTGTCTGACTTTGATTTATCAGATTCTGATCTGTCTGACTTAGATACAGATGAAGAATGTAATGTTCAAAAATTTCTGGGTTGTGGTGCTTTTGGACAAGTGGTCAAGGGTTTAAAACGGGGACAGATATACTCATATCAAAATTGAAGAATGCAAAATTAGTTACACTACTGTGGATACAGAGGAAGATTCTCAGGAGGAAACTTCAAACTTAGCATTCAAAGTTTTAGCGTTTAGTGTTAGTGTTTCAAGTTCAATTCAATTCAAGTTTATTTATATAGCGCCAAATCACGACAAGTTGTCTCAAGGCACTTCACATAATAAACATTCCAATTCAGGACAGTTCATTAGGCCAATCAGAAATAATTTTTCCTATATAAGGAACCCAGCAAATTGCATCAAGTCACTGACGAGTGTCAGTGACTATACAGCAATCCTCATACTAAGCAAGCATAAAGCGACAGTGGAGAGGAAAGCTCCCTTTTAACAGGAAGAAACCTCCAGAGAATCTCGGTTCAGTATAAACAGCCATCCACCATGACTCACTGGGGATCGAGAAGACAGAGCAGATACACACACACACACACGCACACACACACACACACAGGTGGCTCATTGTTTATTGTTAGTGTTTAGTTTTAGTGTTTAGCGTTCTAAAACTGGGTTAGGCCATGACAGGGTTGGGGTTGGTTGGGTTTGTAATAAAGTAAACCAAAAAAAAAAAAATAAATTATCCTCTACTATTAATCGCCACCTTATCGTGGTGTAGGGGTTTGCGTGCCCTGATGACCCCAGGAGGTATGTTGCCTGGGACTGTTTGTCCCTGTTAGGTTCTGCCATGGCAACTGGGCTCTGGGTCAGGGGCCAGACTAAGAGCGATTATTCATTAATTCTTATTAGGACTACAAAAGCAGTGGAGAAAAACTCTCTCCCAAGACTTTTTAAATGATTGAGTTTTAGTAGGTATGTAGTTGGTATAAAAGAAAAGTTTTCACAGAAAATATTTTCCGTTATCAAGATCAGTGGTTCCCAACCTGGGGCTTGTGACCCTCCAAAGGGGTCCCCACAACTGTGTCTGTGCTAAGGTTGTTGGGTTACAAAGATTATTTATTACTTGTAAAAAATTATTCTTCTAAAATCCCAATTACACGCCCAACAGTGTAATCAAAAATCTGTATAGGAGTTACAACACCGCATGTCTGTGCAGTTTGTAACTAACCACTTGTGATGTGTGTTTGTAGATGGGGTTGGGGGGGGGTCCTGGCTTGTTTTCAACACTGGTACGGGGGTCTTCGTGGTAAACGGTTGGGAACAATTGAT